TTCTGCTAATAAAAAAGGTTATGATAAGAAACATGCAAAAGTGGAGTAATTAATCTCCATATCTTACTAATGAACTTTAATTTTGGGCTGCATGCCATGGCTCATCATAATTTTGCTTGCCGACTTCTCACTGTGTGTAAGTGATTTATTCATAAAATACATAGTAATATCCTCTCAGAATGATGCCTTTCTCATATGTCTTATAAACTTTTTTGGAATCAAACAATTGTATTTGCCTGCATGGATCCACATCTCTTGTCTTGGCTTCACTAGGGTTGAAAATTGGACGGATCTCTAGGAACCCAAGCTGAAATATTTAGTACTTATATAGAGATTTCGAGTACTCGAGCAGAGTTTCGGTCAAATATAATTTAAATTCAAATAGCAGTCAGATTGGAGTCTCAAATTTTGAGATTCACTAGTTTTTGACCATTGAAACTCGAGTTATGTAATCCCAGGATCAAACTCAAATTGAACCTGAATTTTCACTGGAGAATCGCATCCTCATTTCAACCCAAGTTTAAAAATCCAATCAAGTTGAAGGGTTTGCATTAAACTTGAGTTGAATATTTCCTCCAGTTAGGATTAAACCCACATTACCTAAAACCACCCAACTACACCCCAAAGTTTCATATAACACAAGATGAAATCCTTTTCAAGTGTCACATCAGTTGATAACCAAAAAGGGTCCCCAAGAGTCATGGAAAATGCAGAGACAATGAGAAAAAGAAAGTTTCTATGTCCGTAATAGAACAAAAATTGAAAATTTAACTGTTCTTGTGTATGTAATAACTAGTTTGGTCAACAGCTCTACCTAGCCATTGTTGCTTAGAAATTCATGTACGTCTTATATTTTGTTTGCATGTGCTTGTTTGGCTCTTTATTGTTTCAATTAGGTGGCATGTGGAATCTACTAGATTTCTTCTGATATGATTTTACCTCTTTTGAAGAAGGCAGTGGAGTGATAAGTAGCTAGCAACTGTGAGAAAGCATCAAGTAGTCATGTCCAGCCACCATTTTTGGTGTTACTCACTGGGATCTCTATGGCCAAATCTATCTATAGTGATTTTACCTCTTTTGAAGAAGGCATTGGAGTGATAAGTAGCTAGCAACTGTGAGAAAGCATAAAGTAGTCATGTCCAGCCACCATTTTAATCTCTATAGCCAAATCTATCTATAGTGATTTTACCTCTTTTGAAGAAGGCAGTGGAGTGATTAGTAGCTAGCAACTGTGAGAAAGCATCAAGTAGTCATGTCCAGCCACCATTTTTGGTGTTACACAGTGGGATCTCTATGGCCAAATCTATCTATACTAGACAGTGGGGAGATTATAATCTTCATGAGTTTGAATCAGATTGTGTGTACTGAGATTCTGTGTTGCAAAGTACAGTTGAAGGATCAGAAGAGTTATCTTGGACACTTGAAATGTTAAATCACTAAAGGAGCTATGCAGAAAAGTAAAACATGGGATTGAGATCTCTTTTTCCAGAATAATAATAATTATTATAATTGTACCAAGTGTATGTTGTCAATGTGCAGTGCAGAGAATAATCAGACAAGTAATAGAATTTAAGAATGTTGAACGCAAAAATTTACTTGT